TGAGACTCTGTCTTTTAAACCACATCGTGCAATTTGAAAATAAAACTTTTTATTTTTAGGACTCCAGCAGAATTGTTCTGGCTCTGCTCCTGCAGTCTCAATAGTGGCCTTGGGCTCTAAAACCTTGACCTTAGAAAGAAAACATTTACATTGTAAATGCACTGGCAGTATGAGCACTATTCTATGGTGAAGTATCCAACAGAGGCTAAGAGTTCAGAAGCGGCTTTTCCCTTTCTTCTGAAAGGCCTAATCCACGGGACTTTCACAGTGACAAAATCAAACTCTTAGCGGTAATTGTGTATTGGTTCTAGCTGTGAACTTGCATAAAATCTGAAATTTCACGCCACCAATCCTGTTGCAGGGATTTTACCACTGATCGTCAGGAAATGGAGCTTCTGGAGAGGCTTGGAGGAAATTAGACTGTGCAGGCCCTTGGGCAAGCACACTTGTGAACAAAAAGCCTTTATAGTCATCCCTTCTTCCAAAACACAGGCAGCTTCATGCTTTGTTGAGCTGGTACTTGAGACCTGCAGAGGCACACAGGTTCTGATGCGATGGCTTCGGGAAAACAGACTATGTCTACATTAGATATCTAAAGTCAGTCTACTACTCCCAGACATTCTCTTATCCATCTCCAGTTAGGCTGGAAAAGGAAAGACTCAGAGTAGCTTGATGGCTAATTCCATGTGCTCTGATGGAGTGTGAGGAAGAAGCACAAGGTCCATTCTGACCAGTGGGCAAAATGATGGCCAGTGGGTGGAAGCAATGGGAGGAAGCTTCCAGGCCATCTGGCAGGGGTTCTTTCTCCTCATTAGGATGGTCTGAAGCTGGAATGAGCCAGCTCTCACGTTCATGATTGGCTTATCACTAAAGATGTCCAGAGGGGGGCCTCCACTGACAATCCCTGACACTAATTCTCTGCATGGCCTTGGGCCAGTGTCACAGAGTGACACAGACTGGTCTCACAGGAGCAGCTCTGGAAAATGGAGAGACATCAAGGGGTCAAGACGAGATCATTCACCTTTCTGGGGCCTCTGACTCCTTAGGAAGTTCTCCTTAAGTGTCAGGCCTGCTCCAAGTGTTTTATACTTATTAAGTCACTAAAGCTGCACACCAATCCTAAGATCAAAGGTGGGTGCACTCATCTTTTCCTACTTTATAGATGAGGAAACCAGGGCACAGGGGTTACCTAACCCCTCCCAAGTCGCAGAGCAAGCAAGTGGCAGAGGAGAAGCCCCTGGCTAAACACCACAGTCCACCCTCACAGCCTCTGTACTGCTCTGTCTCAGAATGCTCTCTGCAGGCCCCCTGATATCCTGTAGTGTGACCACCACTATCTGCTTTATCTTCCTTCCTTACCCGTAGCTGTTCCTCTGATGGATTGGGTCTCTTCTGACATCGATTTTGCAAAGGCAGTACCCGCTTCCCTCCCTACACAGACTGTGAAAAACCCCAAGGTTATCCTCTTTGGTTGGTGATAGGCCTTAAATTCCTTTTATTTTTCAGACACAGCTCCCCAGATACACAGCCAGCATCTGCCACTAACGGCACTCAAAGCTGATGGAATGAATGATCTGACATCAGCAGTCACACAAATTATCGCCACTGAATTGCATGGATGTTATCAAATCAGAAAGAAATGAGGCCAAAGCAAATATAATACATATGCAGTGCTTTTGCTTCTTAAATTTTGGTTTTATAAGTAATTTTGGCTCTGTATTAAAAACAAAAAAATAATAATATAACATCTAACACTTATATCATGTTATGTGCCAGACCCTATCCTAAGCTCTTTTCTCTTATTAACTAATTGAGTCCTCACAAATACCCTGAGATGTCAGGCAGCATTACAATCCCCATTTTAAAGAGGAGGAAACCAAGATACAAAGAACTGAAGTTTAGGTTTCAGTACCTGAACTAGTAACCAGACTAGTGTGCCAAGTGCCAGAGGAAGGCGGCCTAAACCAAAGTAATTTGGAAGAGATTTAGAGAACAGGATTAATTCAAGAGACATCACACTAAATAAGTAAATTGCAATAAAGCTGGAAATGGGAGGCAAAGAAAGAGACACCATCAAAGACAGCTGCCAAGCTTCCAACGAACACGTCTTCTTGTCAAAACTGTGAAGATTCCACCTCTGTGTCTTTGTTCGGGCTGTTCCCTTTGTTTACAACGCCTTTCCATGCCCTTCCATGACTGCTCTGCAAAGCCTCTTATTAACCCCTCCTCACCTCCTGCCTCTGCACCCCTACATCTCACTGTTAGTTGGCATACAGTTCTTGGCCCTCACCCATCTTCCTCCATGTTTCAAGCTCCTCGGAGATAAAGACATAGCATAGTGACAGGTGGGGAGCCCAAAACTCTAGCCGTTTGACATCAGTTTTGTGATTCTGTCTTGCGATACAGTCATACATGCATTACTTTTCACTTAATTTTTAAAATAACTTGGATGGCCCGATAGGTGCAGTAAACCACCATGGCACAGATTTACCTATGTAACAAACCTGCACATCTTGCACATGTACCCCAGAACTTAAAATAAAATAAAATAAAAATAACTTGCCTATAGGATTGCAAAGGGTATACAATGAAAAATAGAAATATAAAATAGAATAAAATAATAATAACTTGCTTATTTTAGGAGAGTTTTAGATTCACGGAAAATTGTGAAGATGGTACAGAGAGTTCCCACATAGCCTCTACAAGTTTTCCATATTATTAACATCTTATGTTGGTACGGTATATTTGCCCCAATTTATGAACAAATATTGATACATTTTTATTATCACCTAAACTCTGTAAGTTTATTCAGATTTTCTTAATTTTTATTTTAATAAATGTCCTCTTTTCTGTTCCAGAATCCCATCCAGAATACGGCATTTGGTCATCCTGTCTCGTTAGGTTTCTCTTGGCTGTGACAGCTTTTCAGACTTTTCTTGTTTTTGATTACCTTTGTATATTTTGAATAAAGTTATTTATTAGGACTTATATTGGGTTGCTCACTTTCAGGTCCACTTATCTTTCTTTTCAGCTATTTGCTATTGCTGTTGGGCGGCTGTGTTGGGTTGAACAGTGACCCCCCAAAATTCATGTCTACCTTGAACTCGTTAATGTGAATTTGGAAATAGGGACTTTATGGATATAGTAAAGTTAAAATTAGGTCATAATGGATGAGAATGGGCTCCAATCCGATGACTGGTGTTTTTCTAAGAAGAGGGAGGTTCAAGGCTGGGTGCAGTGGCTCACACCTGTAATCCCAGCAGTTTGGGATGCTGAGGCAGGTGGATCACCTGAGGTCAGGAGTTCGAGACCAGCCTGGCCAACATGGTGAAAACCCCTCTGTACTAAAAATACAAAAATTAGCCAAGTGTGGTGGCGTGCGCCTGTAATCCCAGCTATACTCGATAGGGTGAGGCAGGAGAATTGCTTAAACCCGGGAGGCGGGGATTGCAGTGAGCCGAGATCGTGGCACTGCACTCCAGACTGGGGGACAGATCAAGATTCTGTCTCAAAAAAAAAAAAAAAAAAAAAGAGATTGAGGTTTGCACAAAGACTAGCAAAAGATAATACCATGTAATGTCAGATTGGACATTACATTGGATTGGATTGGATTGGATTGGATTGGAGAGATATGTCTGTAAGCTAAGGAAGGCCAAAAATTGCTAGAGCCACCAGAAGCTAGGTGAGAGGTCATCTTTACTTGTTCTGCCAAAAACAACTTAGAAGGGAAGGTGGGGAAGGAGGTAGATAGGTGGATGGCCAGGGTAGATGTGCTGGATTCCAGCAATTCAAATCGGCATTGGTCTGGTTTGGGTTGCTACACAGAGCTGGTGCTGTGATGATTTTACATAGAAGAAGAGACATTCCCACTGTTCACAGCTTTGGGTCATACAGACAAGCCAACTTTTAGTATTTCTCACCTAGAAAAATCTTCCCATCTTATTGCTTTCAAGTCAAATCATTCCTTAAGAAACACACGCACATGAGCTGGCTCCTCTACTCTGTATACAGAAAGTCCTCATGGAGAACATATACAGTAATAAGTTGGGTAGAAGCTGGTGGAAGGTCTGTAGAGACTTTTTTACTGTGTTATTTAAATGTCCCCTCCAGGTTGAGCATAAATGAAAGTACTAACTTCTAGGATTTTCTCTTTGTAAGGAGTGAGTTGGGGTTGCACACAGGGACTGATAGATCCTGTTCACTGTCAGGTTTGGCCCATGTCTGAAGGCCATAAACGTCACTCTTCTCTTATCAAGTAAAGAAAATCATGAGCTTCAGGGGCAGAAAGGGTTTGGGGACCTGCAGACCAGGAGTTCTCTTTACAGGCTCTGTTGCTTAATGGCTTTGTAACCTTGTCAAGTTCCTCAGCTTCCTCATATAGAAGGTAAGGATGAGAACTCTTACCAGTGGGGTTGTGGAAGGATTAAATAAGAGAATAGGAGCAAAGCCATTGACACATCATAGGTAATCAATAACAGTGTTTCCTGTCCACTGGCCATCCTAGAGGATAAAACAAAACTCCCACTTTTAAAACTTTTTCACTAAGAAAATTCTTGACCTCCCTCAAAAATCCAGTCTTGTGCTATACTTTTAATGATCATTTGTGTTAAACTCCTACTATATAGGTAAATGGTGTTACTACAGATGCTTTAGAAATATTGGCAAACATCAGTGTTCCCGCAACTCTTAAGGTGGGATTTATTATCCCCATGTGGAGAGGATCTGATTGGTGGTCATGGGGTTAATAATTTGCCCAGAAACAGGGTAGCTATCAGCAGAGGCAAACCTGTAGCCCAGGTCCAGGTGACACCACCATGTTGGAAAGCAAAACTCCCCACAGTTCTGCCAGTGTCCAAAAGCCATGAGTGGGCTGCAGGGAAGTCACAACCTCATGGAATGGAAGTGATCTTACCGTGACTTTGAGTTGGGTGGGTTCTCCAATGTTATTGTCAACTGTCTTCATCTATTCCTGTTGCTGTAATAAAATATAGGAGACTTGGTAATTTCTAAAGAAGAGAAATTTATTTCTCTCAGTTTTGGAGGCTAGGAAGTTAAAGATCATGACACCAGCAGACTAGCTGTCTGACAATGGCCTAGTATCTGCTTCCAAGATGGGACCTTGCTGCGTCCTTTGGAAAGATCAAACACCATGTTCTTGAGTGACAATAAGCCAAAAAGGACCTAGCTAGTTCCCTCCTTCAGCCCTTTTACATGGTACTAATCTCATCTGCCTTCATGACCTAATCACCACCTGTACATCCCAACTCTTAATGCTGTTGCATTGGGGTTAAGTTTTAACATGAATTTTGTAGGAAACACAAACATTGAAACCACAGCACCAACCCACATTAGACCAGGGTTACTATGTAATAATCTCTAAAAGAGTTTACCAGTCTTTTCCAATCTCAGTTGAGTTGTATAAGTCAGGTAGGAGGCCTGTGAGAACCTGTGTAGACCTCAAGGGAATATTCCCTCATTTGTTGTGACTAAAAGGAGTTTGGGAAGGGTCTGGAATGTCTGTTCAACTCCCTGGGTGTGGTGGTAGGGTTCACAGTCAGGCCTTGGCCCCATACTACAATGATACACATTCCTTGATGTTTCCTGAACAGGCAGAGTGTGATCCTAGTCATTGGAATATAAGTATATAGTAAGCAGTAAATAAATTAATTAACATCAGGGAATTTTCTCTGACCATTCCCTCTATTTGGGACATTTTTAGCCCAGGGTTAAATGGTTCAATTCCTCCATTTGGGTCTAGACTCAAAAGTCACCTCCACAGGGATGCCTCACCTGACCACCCCACCTAAAAATAGTTACCTTCTATCGCTTTTATTCCCTTCCTTTGCTGTACTTTTCCTCTTAACTCATGTATAATCATGAGTTCATCACCAATTTCCCCACTGCCAGGTTCTATGAGGGCAGAGGACCCATCTCTTGTACATCCATTGCTGTATCTCTGGCACCTAGAACCGAGCCTGGCACGAGTCAGTGCTCTGTAAGTTATATGTTGAGTAAGTGAGTGAATAAATGAATGCAGGCATCATGCATGGGAAAAGCTTAGCACCATGCCTGGCACATAGCAGATGAGAGATAAGTGTTAGTTTTGATGATGTTGATAATGACATCCAAATGTCAGTCTGAGGTAGTGGCACTGTGGATTGGCCTCTGACATTCTCAGTTTATATCTCAGTAGGTTGGGGAGTATAAAGGACTGTCCTTCCACCCTACCTTCCATTCCTCCCTGCCACTATCAGACATGCTAGAGAACAGTGCTTCACCAACTTCTGCTCCTCACTTTTCCCTGTCTGTGAAATTATGATTAGGCATTGGGGACAGTTCATCCTCTTCCCCAACTCTCGAAATGAAACACTTTCAGATCCCTCATACTAATGTGTAAATGACCAACAGCAGTCTCATCTCATCCCATCCCAGCCACCTGACCTCTCTCAGAATCTGGAATTTCCCATTTCTTCTCTTTCATTCATGTTGTCAAACACCTAGAGTACCTCTACTTTGCCCCATTTTATTCCTAAAGATAATCTCTCCAAAATCCAGCTCCAATATTACCTTCCCTGTGAAGCTCAAGCCCAGATATTGCAGCAGTTTCTGCCTCCTCTCTCTGGTTTTCCATGGAGCTCTCTGCCCCTTCCATTACAGCCCTCATCACAGGGCACTCTATGCAACCAGATCTTTCTTCTCCACAAATGAGTTCTGCAAGGACAGGGTCCTGCAGATGGTGGTGAGAATGGGCAGTTCTGACCTGAGTCGGTACAGGAGGTTCCTCAATCCTGTGAACTCTGCTGCAAGAACTCCTGGGTTCTAATCCTGCATCCCCTCTTACCACCAATGAGACCCTAACAGGTGATTTAACCATAGCATGTACCGAGTATCCTGCCTGAAAACAGGGATCCTAATTATTACACTTCAATAAGCATTTAGCACCACAGACCAAGGGATAAAACTATAAAGGGGGATTCTGAAATGGGTTGCATTAGGAGATAGGTAGAAAACTAGAAGTTGTTCCTTAGTTTTTCCACTGATGTATAGGGACTACATTATGAGTTCACTTGGTACTAGACACAAAGAAATCTAACAAGGGTTGAAAACATTTCTGAAAATCATTCAGAGCTATATTATCTTTGTTAATTCAGCAGTAAGTTCATCACTCTGCCTCCTTCAGCTCAAGGACAGGTCTTCTCTGCTGATAGGCACATAGCTGTGTGGGCCATGGAAGTATATAATGAGGTAGATAGCCTCTAAAAATCATATCCAAGGAAGTGAATATAAAGCAAAACAGAAAGAGCAAAAATTATAAAATATGTTAAATATTCCACTCTACTCTCATACCACAAAAGTTCATAGCTTATGGGAAACTTTACAGCATACAGAGGGGCTTATGACATGACCTGCCCTGTTCTCTTAACCTAATTACCATTACATGTCTGTAATACCATGAGGAAGATATTGCAGAAGGAGCTGTAGGACTTTCCACATTACTACTGATCTACTGGCTGGTCCATTTGCTGATCCGTCTGCTGGACTGTCTTTAATGGGGTTTTGCTGCCTGGTGTATTTACATAACTGGGTTTAGCAGTGGTCAAGATTTGTGTCTGTGTTGAGCTGGTGAGGGTGCTTTCTATGTCCTGGCTTGGCTCTGTGAACTCTCCCATTTCCATCCGATATTTGGGAGTGGTCTCTGGGACCTCCATTAGCTCTGTAGGGATGGTTCTTTTCCATTTCCACCTGCTCTGTGGTAGTGATCTTTTCTGTCTTGATTGTCTCAGTGGGAATGGACTCTTCAGTTTGCTCTATGGCAGTGGTATCTTGGTGGTGATTGGCTCTGTGGGGGTGGTGTTTGAGATCTTGATTGGCTCTGTAGGGGTGGTCTTTTTGGACTTGATTGGCCCTGTGGGGGTGATCTCTTTTATCCTCAATGACTCTGTAGAGAATAACTGTTGGATCTGGGTCTTCTGCTTGGGGAAGCACGGTTTGACCTTGCTTGGGTCTCTGTGAGTGGACTTTTTGACCTTATCCCACACTATGGGCATGAGTTCCATGTCATAGTGGCTGGGTTTCTTATTTGTGATCAGGGTGGAATTCACCAGCTTGACATTGGATTCTGGATACTTCTGACAACATGCCCTGGTCATCAGGTTGGCCTTGGAGTTCTCACAGGTGTGTTTCTTGTGGCACAGGTTCTAGCTAATTTGTTATAGGCAAAGTCTGGATTTCCCATAGAGACACAGGAAAACTCACTGTTCATTCAAACACCCTCAACTTTGAGAGTGACGCCCTCCTCCTACTCAGTCACAGCCCATCTACAGTTGACTTGGTCTTTAGTGACAAGGCTGCCATGATTGGAAACTTGTATGGCAGGGTTTTTGTCACAATCTGGAGCTTTAGGGCTTTCCCACGGAGACACATTGATCCCTGGGCAGTACTCTGTTGTCTTCTTTACTTCATTTTTCCCCTCCACTAGGAGCACCTGAGAAGCCAGTAGGAGAAAGAAGAATAGGGTGAGGCTATGGGTCCTCATGGCTGCAGCTGGGTGGCACCTGTTTGACAAAAGGCAGGTGAGTGAGTCAGTGGCAGGCAGCAGTTCCGCTGTGCAGGATTGCACCTTGGCCTCCCTCCACCCTGACAGGTGCCTGCTTAAATTAGGAGTAGACCAAGAATGCTTTTGGCCTCTGGAATCACTAGACAAGTAGCCTGTCTACTCACACTTCCACTTGACTTGAGTCCTGAGTGTCACAAAACTACCACTCTTTGGAGCCTCATGAACTCTTATTTCTCATCTACTCACTCAAGAACTCCTGCATTTACTCACTCCTCCTCTCATTCACTCATTCAACAAGCATTTATTAAGTGCCTACTATTAATACTTGCCATACACTAGACTAAGTGTTCAAGATACCACCGTGAATGAGAAAGTCTCAGGTTTTAAAGACCTTAGAGGCTACTCATTGGGAAACTTAAATACCATTAACCAGGGAGTCTGTTCCATCTCTGTCTCAACTTGATCTTGGACAAGTGACTCTCTCCTGGTTCTCAGTTTCTTTCCTTCCTTCCTTCCTTCCTTCCTTCCTTCCTTCCTTCCTTCCTTCCTTCCTTCCTTCTTTCCTTCTTTCCTTTCTTTCTTTCTTTCTTTTTTTTGTTGAGACAGAGTCTTGGTCTGTCACCCATGCTGGAGTGCGATGGTATTATTTCAGCTTACTGCAACCTCCACCTCCCAGGTTCAAGCAATTATCCCGCATCAGCCTCCCAAGTACCTGGGATTACAGGCACCCACCATCACACCTGGCTAATTTTTTGTATTTTTAGTAGAGACATGGTTTCACCATGTTGGTCAGGCTGGTCTCGAACTCCTGACCTCAGGTGACCCACCTACCTTGGCCTCCCAAAGTGCTGGGATTACAGGTTTGAGCCACAGCACCTGGCCCTTAGTTTCTTTATCATCTGGAAATCGCAGTGTTGGATGAAGTGATAACCAAGCTCTCTTCCAGCTCCAATGTGCTAAATTTCTATCTCACAATCCCACATGGACACAGAAGACCACTAAACGAGAAAGGACGTGGTAAAGCTCATGAAAGTGTCATAAAAGGTGATGTTGACATTGACACAGGGTTGAACATGCATGGGGTTTGATACACTGAGGTGAGTGGGGTTGTGGGAGTGGGAGGAGCATTGGGGAGGAAGTAAGAGCCTCAGGAAAGGTATGAAGGAGGGAAGGTTGTCTGATTTGGCTGGGTAAAGTGAACCCAGGGCATAAAGAAGATCCATAATCGGCCGGGCGCGGTGGCTCACACCTGTAACCCCAGCACTTTGGGAGGCCGAGACGGGCGGATCACGAGGGCAGGAGATCGAGACCATCCTGGCTAACACGGTGAAACTCCGTCTCTACTAAAAATACAAAAAATTAGCCGGGCACGGTGGTGGGCGCCTCTAGTCCCAGCTACTTGGGAGGCTGAGGCAGGAGAATGGCGTGAACCTAGGAGGCGGAGGTTGCAGTGAGGTGAAATTGTGCCACTGCACTCCAGCCTGGGCGACAGAGCGAGACTCTGTCTCAAAAAAAAAAAAAAAAAAAAAGAAGATCCATGATCAGGCCAGAAGATGCAGTGGCTCACGCCTGTAATCCCAGCACTTTGGGAGGCCGACGCAGGTGAATCACCTGAGATCAGGAGTTCGAGACCACCCTGGCTAACTTGGTGAAACTCCACCTCTACTAAAAATACAAAAATTAGCTCAGCGTGGTGGTGGGCACCTGTAGTCCCAGCTACTCAGGAGGCTGAGGCATGAGAATTACTTGAACCTTGGAGGCGGAGGTTGCAGTGAGCTGAGATCGTGCCACTGCACTGCAGCCTGGGTGACAGAGGGAGACTGGGTCTCAAGAAAATAAAAGAAGAAGACCCATAATCAATGCTTTTTGAAAGAAATCATTGACTCAATGATTGATGACTCAATGATGACCTGGCCAAACTACTTAGCCTCTCTAATCTTCCATCTACTCATCCTCCCTGTCCTGACAAAAGCAGCACTTCATGTATGGCTGCATACTCAATATTCACAGTGCTGAGTTATTAACATAAAGTGAAGCAAAAGAAATTTGGTTCATAATGGGGTCTGAAATGTTGTTCTTCACAAAAAGACATATTACTTATGTATTCATGATATAGTAAGAGACTCACTTCCATTAAAAAAAAAAGATGTGGACTTCAATATACCTTGTCACCTCACTTTTCATAGATTTGGGGGTACAAAAAATTGATCAATTCTTTCTTAATTCAAGAATAAGAAAAGCAGTAGTACTACTTTGATGATAAAAAGTAAATTACCTTTGGCTTTGGGGCAGGCACCATCATGGGGACTGCAGCAAACTGGAGCTTCTGTCTCTCTAAAGGTCAACAGTCAGCTCCAATTGACTAACACCTTGCGTGGATAGGGCTCAGTATTGTCAGACTTTTTGATTGTTTTAAGAGATGCCTCAAAATAAAGGTGTGTTTACATGAAATTGGTTGACATGTAATCCAAATTGCCGAAAAGCAGTGTTTTGATCTAACAGTGTACAGGTTAAAACTTGTAACTGTGTTTGGATTTCATGTACAATCCACCTGTTTGAGAATTCCATGGTCACAGCTATAAATGTTGACTGATTTACTCAGCTGCTCAGTCTCTGCATAAATCCACTGGAAGCAGCCATTTCTGAAGCTGTGCACTTCTAAAATTGGCTCACCCGGGGGTCCATCCTCACTGTCCTCACAAACACTCCACTGAGGTCCTGACCTCTGCGAACAGGCACTCTGGTGCAGTATTTTTTTTTAAGATTATTTGGACATAAAGGAGATAAAGCTGTTTTACTCAACAAGGGAGACATAAATTGGGGGGGTCTCCTACAAAATGTGAAATTCTACTTGATCCTCAGGAGGCAGGCAGATTCTTTCTGGAGGAAGATTGCAGTCGGAACCCAAAGCATATTTACAAGGAAACACACAGACTCCGGGGTCTTTCTGGGAAGTGCTTCTCTGAGATTTACCAGGTGACACAACACACTCCCCCAGTGGCTCTCTGGGACCCCTCCCCTTCTGTGACTCCCATCCTAGCATCTGCCTTGGTCTTTCCCTCCTAGACTGGGGGGCACAGCATCAAAGCCAGCTATGGGGCAGTTGCCTGCTTGGTCCATCCATCCTGTCATCCACCCCCAGGTGCACACAGAGGGACACACATATACACAGACACACACACACACACACACACAAAGATACATGCAGACGTACAAAGGTACATACACATACACAGACACACATAGACATTGACACAGAGACAAAGACACACATACACAGACACACATAAACACACACACACACACACACACACACACACACACACAGTGCAATCTGGCCACACTGAAACCCTGTCCCACCATTTGCAGACGCTCCGTGCCCACACCCACTTCCTGCCTATGCCTCTGCTGTTCCCTGCACTTGGGATCCCCTTCCCTTCCCTCTCTGCCTGGCACACATTGCTTCATGCTTCAAGGCCAGGCTCCAATGTGAGCCTCTCTCTGTTGGTATCATTGGCTCCTGATGCTCACCATGCCACCCCACGCCTTCATGGACGTCCACAGGGAGAGATGCACGCTTCCTCCAATGAGCTTATGACGTGTTGGGCAATGTGCGAAGGCTGTTTCCCCAAGTTTTCTTCACATCTAGATGAGTTTAGGAAACGATGTCCTTTGCCAGTGCCTTGAGGAGACTACAGAGGACATGGAGCCACAGTGCATAGCAGGTTCCTGCAGCCGCAGGCCTCTCCACTTCCCCATGTTCCCAGGACTGAGGGGATCTGTAACTCCTAGAGATGAATGTGTAAAGGCCCATTGGCTTTTATTTCACAAGAACGCTAACCTAGGGGCAAAGTCTGCCCAGGTTCTCATGGGATAGATGGGAACTGCGGCTTACAGGGGCCGAATCCTTTGGCAAATGCTGCAGAGCTCAGAAAGCAGAGCCTGGTCTTGCCTGGATCTATGGGCAGTGAGCCTCCCAGCAGAGTGTTTTGGGCATTGTCATATGGTTCTTAGATCTGAGCCTCTCTGTCCCATAGATTTCGGGGAAAAGACAATCCCTCCATCTTAGATGCCTCCATCTTCCATTCTCCATAGCACTTCCTGGTATGTACTAGATGTCTTAGTCTAATTATTTCAATAATAAGTTGAGAATCTCAACTTCAACCAGCTTAAAAGTAAAGAAAAACTTTTTCTGGCTCACTGTATATAAGAAGTGAAGATGGTTCAGATAGACATGGATCCAAATATTCACATAATCTGCCTGTCTCTGTCTCTGTGTGTGTGTGTATACGTGTGTGTGTGTATACGTGTGTGTGTATACGTGTGTGTGTGTATACGTGTGTGTGTGTGTAGCTCTGTGTGTGTGTGTATACGTGTGTGTCTGTAGCTCTGTCTGTGTGTGTGTGTGTATACGTGTGTGTGTGTATACGTGTGTGTGTGTAGCTCTGTCTGTGTGTGTGTGTATACATGTGTGTGTATACGTGTGTGTGTGTGTAGCTCTGTGTGTGTGTGTGTGTGTAGCTCTGTCTGTGTGTGTGTATACGTGTGTGTGTATACGTGTGTGTGTGTGTAGCTCTGTGTGTGTGTATACGTGTGTGTGTGTAGCTCTGTCTGTGTGTGTGTATATGTGTGTGTGTGTAGCTCTGTCTGTGTGTGTGTATACGTGTGTGTGTGTATACGTGTGTGTGTGTAGTTCTGTCTGTGTGTGTGTGTATGTGTGTGTGTGTAGCTCTGTGTGTGTGTATACGTGTGTGTGTGTGTAGCTCTGTCTGTGTGTGTGTATATGTGTGTGTGTGTGTGTAGCTGTGTGTGTGTGTATACGTGTGTGTCTGTAGCTCTGTCTGTGTGTGTGTGTATACGTGTGTGTGTGTGTATACGTATGTGTGTGTCTGTAGCTCTGTCTGTGTGTGTGTGTATACGTGTGTGTG